AATCTATTAGATTGCATTGACCATATCAACATGGATTAAAATGTGATATTAGACCTCAAACATTTTCCTAAATTTTGAACAATCCGACTTCTGCATCCTGTTCCAACTTTGTAGCATCCTGTTGTGGTCTTAAGCAGAACTATATTGGGTAGAAGAAACTACTCTTATTTGAAGGCTGTTGCGGAAGTGCTTTTGGATCCGACGGTGCCAAGTGCTGGGCAAATGCACAATGAAAACACAGTTTCAGCACATAAAGCTCACGGCTGAAAAAGTAGCCTCTTGGAAAGGACTCTGCCTGTAAACAGGGTTTGGGCATAAGCAAAGACAGTGTTCCAGAATTGCTTTAAGCCCTATAATTGTCTGTTTCGAGCCAGGTCAGTTCCTTAGTTCCTTGATCCAATCTTCTGTGGGGCTGTACAATCGTACTGCTAATACAATGGAGAGAGCAGGAAGACAAAATCAGAGTGGACTAAGGAGGAGACTGCCTCTTCTGGCAAAAAAATCTGCATTTAGATCAGTTTAAAGGGACTGCAGAACTGTGGCCTTGATTAGGAGGAGGTGGTTGTTATTGCAGGGTGAGGACTTTTATGGAGGAGCCGTACTCAGGTATGAACGCATAGTTCCAGTGTAGCTTGTAGTGTTTGAGGAGGAATTCAAGCTAAATCAGAAACAGACACTCCATTTGCTCTCTTTTGCCAGTAAGTTAGTGCAGGACACGTTTTTGCTTACATAACCGTGCTTATGTTTTGTGGTGAAACTTTTGCACAGAGGTCAGGTCTTTAACAAACAATGCATTTTTCAAATGTTGTCTAATGCATTTTTGCAAAGCTTATCTAGTCTGGGATTTTAAAGTTGGAGTGTCTTGTGGCACTGTTTGTCTTGGCTTGAAGCATTCTCAAGAAACTGTAAATCAGGCAGGTAAAAATCAAGCACATTGAGCTGATCAAAGTGACTTTCATTTCTTGAGACATGACATTAAGTCAGATCATTCTACCTCTCTGTCCAGATTTAGCTAAATCCTGAGTATGGGGCAGATGAAGAAAGTGATTTGGGGTTGTTTTTTATGGCAACTGAAAATGTTATCCTTCTGATAGGCATCTATACGTAATGATTAATTCTCATAATTGCTCATCGACTCCACTGGCAGGCTCCTATTAACGTGTGTGTGTGTGTGTAGCTCTCCATGGTTTAGCTTGCATGCACTAGCTTACATGACTGTTACCTGTCTCTGGTTTGTTCAAATAGCCTGGTGTGTTATTGGTGGGGGACCTGGGGTTGTCTGGACTGGGGAGGAGATTTGGTTGATTTCCCTGACTTAGTGTTTACTTGGCCTCTGCATTCCAGTCCTGAGCATGTGTGCCCCAAGCTAACAGAGCCAGAAGGAGACAGACAGGTGTACTTGGCCATCTGGGTAGGAAATACTTAGTGCCATTATGGAGACACACATCTGCCCCCATGGTGGTAGCGTTTGGTGGCTGTGGCCTCTTTGTGGAACATGCAAGCCAGAGAGCAGAGCTCCTCCCGAGCTTACCTGACTGACAAGCCTCTTGCCTCTCTGCACAGACCTCTTCTGGGAGAGCTGAGCCTTCTTCTAAAGGAGAGCTTCTCAAAAATGTGGAGGACTGTTTTTTGTAATAAATTAATTCTTCCTTTTCAGTTAGAAGCTTACTTTGGGTGTCTGCCCCCCGCTATTTGGATGCGAAGGCTGCTGTACCTAAATAGCAGAAGCAGGTATAGCAGAAAAGGCTCATGTTAGCCTCCTGTGCTAGACTCACCCTTGCTGATACCACTTGGTATCACCAGCGTCGGTCTGTCGATTACACTTCCTTTGCAGTTCAGGTTAACTGAGTGGTGTAAGTCGTCTGACAGCCAAAGCTGTAATGTCATCGCGTGCCAGGAATGGGAACGTGGTCTGAGCTTTCTCGATTCTGTTGCCTCAGGAAGGCTCTTGCATTTGGGTAGTTGTGGCATTGTATCATGGGGATGTGGGGAGTTTGGGGTTTGAAGATAATTTGAAGTTTAATGTTTTTGATAAGAACTGGTCTGTTATTTAGAATTAAAGTGATAATTAAGTCTATTGTCATGTTTACAGATGATTTAAAACTGTTTCATCTCTCTCAGTTTGCAATGTTTGGTTATAAATGATGAGTTCCTGTCAGTGGTACGCTATCCTTGCATAATCCTGCTGGCCTCATTTCTGAAACAGCTGTATTCTGGGCATATCATTATATGAAGCACCTGCAGATTTAAAGTAGCCTAGTGGACTTCTTGGTATTGATAATAATGTAACACCTTTGCAGGTTCTTGCCACTGTCCTCTCCTGGGGCTTGAAGCTTGCTTTCTTTTCCTCCTTTCTCAACAGTAAGCTCAAATCTCTCCAAAATAATGTGATAAGCATGTTTTGCATGAGGACCCACTCACTCTGAATGCAAATTAACATCAGCATTGAATGTAGCCACCTTTCCTCAGACCCATTTTCTGTGGCACTGCAAAATTTTGTTCAGTTAATTTTGTGGAAGCTGTATGAAGGCACGTATGTAATCTCTGAATTTTATCTCCACGTTTGCAAATGTAGCATCTCTAAATTTCTCTGTGCTGTGATTCTTTATTTCCTTTTACTTTATTTTGGAAGGTGACAGGGCTACTGAAGCATTCATAGCTTCCGAGCCAGGGTAATATTAAGCAAATTTGGTCACGTGCTTTGGATGTGTAAACGTGTCAGATTGGTGGTATACTCTGTCCTGTTGGCTTCCACCAGCACACCCATTCCTGATGTGCATGCCAAATTCAATGTATACTTTGCAAACTGGCTGAGATGGTGCATGTGATTTATGTCTTTGCGACATTTTGTGTCGTGCCCTTGATTCTTCCGTGCACCTAAGTGCAGCTGTTGCCCTGTCTTGTGTTATGGCTTTTGTATGTGAAGATGAATAGAGAGGCCTCAAGAATTTTTTGGCACAGGTCAACTAGGAGAAAAGTGTGCTCTAGATAACATGGGTTATCTAGACAATGAAAAACGCTGATTTAAACACAGTATTTCATGCTTAGGGTCTGCAGGCTTCAGTTGGTAAATATTTCCATTAAAATTAGTGGAACTATTTACAGGCCCGGTTCTGCTTACGTTGAACTCACTAGGGAAAACCAGCTGACTCTAGAGATGCCACGTAACCAAATCTGAATGGCATTGGTCTCTCTGGCCTTACATCATTTTACTTAACAAAACCGCCTTTCTTCCAGTGTTAAAATAGGAGTCAATGAATGGAAAAAGGAGTCAACAGCACAAGCCTGTTTCGTAAAAGAGATTGACTCTGAATTTTGTCAAACAACTTGAGGTTGTCTGAACCACCTGCTCTTAGTTAAGAGCAATACAAAGAGATCTGAGTTTAAACAATATTCAGCTCCTCATTCATGTTAAATGGAAAATTTGCATGTTAAAATTGAATTTTAAAATTTAACACTTCATATAAGAGAGAGAGGTTGTGTATGTGACTGTTCATTAATTAAATTATGAAAAAGCCATCTCTGTTGGAAGTAAAATGCTATTTTATTACTGATATGTAAAAATCAATGTGAAGAGCAATTATTAAAAATCCCATACGCCAAGCACTTTAATGACGATGTCTAAGAATTTTTTAGAACTTTTTTCTATGAGTGCTAAAATACCACAGATCCAAGGACTAAAAATTAATAATTTTGAATGTAATTTGATTGTACAGGTGTGAAAGTAGAACCCACACCTAATCAGTTTGTCTTCCCACAATGTACTTTCATCTCAAATTTCATTTTGATACACAGTGGTGTTAACTGCCAATAGACATTCTCAAAACTGGGACAGTAATGTTAATAACCAGTTTATGTTCAAAGTTCAAGTTAACCATACTTTACGAGTAAGGTAGGAAAGATGCCTCTTTCACAGTCCCCTTGAAAGAAAGCTTGGGCAGTGTATGTCTACAGGGTTACTATTTCAAAATGCAGAGACCAGGGCTGTTAGTAGCATAAATTATATTAGCAGCTCTCTGAAGTCTTTTACTTTACTTCTTTTCTAAGCTCACAGTGTCTCTTCAGCTTCCTTTAAGCAGAGAGCAAACCTGTCTCTTCTCAGGGCTCCAGAGGTACCTTTTATTTTTCTTCCTGCTTTCTGTTTCTCTCCCAATTTGTCTTTATTTGGTGAGCACAAATGAACTACATGTCTTGTGGCAAAGCACAAGCCTGGAGCTGTGAAAGCCTGTTTCCTGGCTAGAGAAATAGAGTGTGAAATTGGAACAAACCCAAAAATATTTCTGTCTAAGATAAGGCCTTTTTGGCCATTGTTTGTCATTTGTGCTGACAGGGCAAAAGAAGTTCAAGTTTAAAATAAGCCTGACTGGAAAATTCTATCATTTCTAAATTTCCTTTTCTGCCTTTTTTTTTCAGGAGATATTAATTTTCCCTTTTCCAGTGTTTCAGCTTCAGCTAACATTTTGTTTGCGCTCATTTCATTTTTCACCAGTTATGCAAAAATTCAACCTCCACATTCATAATTAAAGTTCATGGTATTCAAGTCACGTTTAAAATGACACTGAAGTATTGATTTTGCATATAGAGAAGAAACTTGTTTTCCACACTTCATTACTGACTCTGGAGCAAGAAGAGAATTAAATTTTAGTGTTAAGATTCCTCTTCATGAGACAGTTTTATTTTCTACCACCATTTGCGCGTTTGGCTGTGCCGTGCACGCTGCAGCGCCTGGGGTTACCTGAAGGTTGTGTCGCATCCTGTGTCACTCTGTACCCTAATTTAGCCTGACATTATGCTTTGACTCATCACGTTAGATTAGGTAAAGCGTGTGTGCCCATACATGAGAGGATGGCTTTGTGCTGTACAGTTACTGTAGATTGGAGGAGTTGGTGTTAAATGTTGGATGTGATCTTGGTGTTCAAGCTTCCTGCATCAGTGCAGCGGCCTCGTGCCGAGGGAAAAAATAAATCAGCCACGCACTAATGACATTTTCTTCTCTCTAGGCAAGCTGACACAGGGGCCCTGAGGGAAAACCCACAGAAGAGGGATCAGCTGGACCAGAATTTAGGCCACAAGTGGAAGGCATCTGTCAGACCTTTGCATGCACGAGAGCCTACGGTTCTGCCCCATGAGAGCCGGGGGAGATCCGGGACGTTGCCTAGTGATTACCGATACTCTCAGGAAAACGTGAACGAGAAGAGCAAGGATTGCAGCTTGCCTCATCTCCCCTGCTCTGAGCCACAGACCTTGAATGAGAACCACTCCTGTCTGTCCCGCGGCAAAGGAGAGGAGAACCATAGGGTAGAGCCGGTGCTGCTGAACAAGAAGCGTGGACCTGCCCCTCAGAGGCCGCCGCCACCTAAGAGAGATAAGTACAAGCGACCAGATAATTCTGTGCCATCGCTTGGCACCTCTTCGGAACCTCTACTGGTAGCGCCCAGCCGGCCCTTTCCGTCCTCCTCACCCAGCTCCACTGAAGCAGTTGCCAGTCACTCCTCTCTCTGTCAGAGTCCCGCAGCTTTCAATGGAAAACTGAAGAGCGCTAATCCACAGCAGCTCCAGCCAGCCTCATCCACGGAGAATGTTTGTCAGCACTTAGAAGAAAAAACGCACCTTAGATCTGAATCTGTATTATCTTCCAAGTATCGGTATCTTCAAAAACCTGGCATGGAGACATCAAGGTCCCCTTCTCCTCAGTTTGCTCCTCAGAAGCTCACTGATAAACCTCCTGTGTCCGTACAGGATGAGAACCCAGCCAGGTACTAGATGTAACTCCTTTACTATTTTATTGATACTTTTTGCCCAGTTAGACCTTATTAATGGTTGACTGTTCATTTTCTTTACTAAAAACACATCCTTTGGTGTCATTAAACATGAGCCATCCCAGCATGTCCTAAAGAGACCTAAGACTTGTGTGAAATTCCAGTTGGTACCATTAAAGTCCTTCAGCTGGTCATTGGTTTCTTTTAGTTGACTGATGCTGCTCAGGTGTTACAGCTGGCAGTTAGTAGAAAATGAAAGGGATGGATTCAAATGGATTTTCCACTGTAAGTCTGGGCAAAATGAAAGATTCTGTGTTGTAATTTCCCCCACCTGAGTCTGTATATGAATATGAATCAGTGTGGGGACAAAGCAGATGTGGGAAGGGAAGCTGTATCCTTTGTGAGAACATCTGTTTTGAAAGCGCTCACAGTAAGGTACACTGCCAAATCATGACTGTTTTCACGTTGCTTTTACAATGAAGCCCAGCACTCCAGGTAGTGTGCAGAGAGGTCCACCGCACTGTTTGGTTGAGACAGGCTGAAAATTCAGTGGGAGAACTTTCCCAGGCTAGATAAACTCAGAATTAGACAAACCAGCTGAAATTAATTGATTGCTGTGTCTGTCATAAGCTGCTAACATCATAAAAGGTTATTCTCCCACAAGATAAAAAACTCTTCCAAGAAGATCAGGGATCTTAGTTTTCATGACTCCTTCAGCACTATAATTCCATGGTTAAAGAATGAAAACAAAACCTCCGAGCCGAATGAATGCAGAGGTTACTTCTCTGAGCAAAAGTCATTGGAATAGCTTTTCTCTGCTGTAATGTAAGTGGTTGGATAGACTCAATCATGCTGTTTTCTAATGTGCCTTATGACATAGAAAGCATGAATCACTTTTTTTTCCTAAACATGCCTTGATGTTTTTCTTCTTGTAACTGGAAAAAAATGGTATTTTGTCCTGCAGTGTTTTTAACATGAAGTAGTAATACAGTTTACTATGAAAAGTGCAAAGTCATGTGAAACCCTAGCATCTATGTGCAAAGGTTGAAGACGTTAGTAATGACTTCCTTAATATATTGCTTCATGAATAAGTACTAAGGATGCATAGAAAAGTAGTTGTATTGGTCCTTCCTTTTTACTAAGCTTTAATATTGAAATGAGCACTGAGGTGTGCCAAGTTATATGCCCATATCTGAGTGATGGGCATATCATAGAATCACAGAATGGTTTGGATTGGAAGGGACCTTAAAGATCATCTAGTTCCAACCCCCCTGCCATCAGCAGGGACACCTTCCACTAGACCAGGTTGCTCAAAGCCTCATCCAGCCTGGCCTTGAACACTTCCAGGGAGGGGGCATCCACAGCTTCCTTGGGCAACCTGTGCCAGTGTCTCACCACCCTCACAGGAAAGAATATCTTCCTAATGTCTAATCTAAACCTACCCTCTTCCAGTTTAAAGCCATTTCTCCTTGTTCTGTCACTAACTGCTCTTGTAAAAAGTCCCTCCCCAGCTTGCTTGTAGGCCCCTTCAGGTACTGGATTTTCCAGATACTTTTCCAGATACTTCACTTACCCTGAAAATCTTTTGTTAACATTTAAAGTTCTTAAGCCCAGACAACTCTTGTTTGTGCACCATGTATTGCCCCCAGTTAATAATTACATTACTCAATAAAACAGGTGTGGCAAAAAAGGAAAGACATGCAGGCCATATCTCTCAACCTTCTGTGTGGTATTTACTGTATGGTATGTACTTCATATGAGTAAAACATGTCAAGTAGATTTATCTTAATATGCAGTTAATTAGATTTGGCTTACTACTTCTGTTGGCTCTTTGTGTATGAGCTTTTGGACATGCCAGTTTGCATGCTGTGGGCAGCTAATGTTTGATGATGTCAGCATGTTGCTGTTTACTCTTCTTGAAGAAAGGTGTCTTGTTTATCAACAGGATAAACTGAGTAAGTGTCTAGGATTTCCTGCAGTGTTTTAGGTAGAACAGTGTAGCATGGGGAAATACTGGTGGTGTGTAGAACCCAGCTATTTCCAAAGGTGACTGTTTAGCAATAATAAAGATGAAAAAGAGTGCATCAGGAGATGTGCATCAATAAATTTCCAGTAAACATACACTCGAGTCAAGGAGTGACTGTGCTCGTGGTTGGAGTAAAGCTTCATAATGGCCACAAGCAGAATTTCATGCCGTGGTCCCACAAATGGAGAACCTTCAGAAATCAGGGGGATAGTGACTGCAGAAACAGAATTTCTGGTGTTGAGCTGTCTTTGCTCTGACTGAAGTCAGTTGACTTGATGATGCCTTAAGTATCTGGAAAATCTTTTACTAGGCTGAGAGGAATGTACTCAGAGTCTCAAAACAGATGCTGGGCATTTTAGATGAAGAATTGCAGTCAGCCCTTCTCTTTCAGTTGCCCTCCCCACACTTATGCACGCATCTCATATTTTCCCCAAATTCAAAAATGTGTTCCTCTTCCCAGTCTTCCTTCCAAAAGGTGTGGGCTTTATTTAAAAACAAACAAAAGAAAGGGTTGGGGGTGGTGGCAGGGCTCTGCTCAGCTCTGCTGCAGCCAGGAGAGCCCACTTCTGCAGGCAGGCAGCTGGGGCTGAGTGGCAGACATGGGAGCAAGCTCTTTAAAATTACAGTCACCCTGAATTAAAATGCCACGACTGAATAGGAGTTGAGGGGTTCGACATGGGCTGGAAAACCTGCCCCAAAAGTCGGATCAGTGCGCCAAAGCATGTCCACAAAGCACGTAAATACCTATTGGGAGGCTGTGCCTTCATTCAGAAGCAAATGTACCTGTAAAATATAAGAAACAACTTATGAAAAATATGAAGTCAAACATATTTTGCTATTCCCTTTGAAATAAAAGTACAGCACAATAAAGTGTAAGTTTATTTTGAAGGAAAGTGACACACCCACACTTAGAGGAAGAGAGCTGCAGCATGTCTTGGTCACTTATCTGAAAGGCGGCAAGCAACCCAGCCAGATGAAACCAGATATTTTAGCTAGCAGGCAATGTTCCTTTCCTTGCTGTAGAGCTTCCAAACCCACACTATGACAATAATTTTAAACTTTCTGCAAACTCAAAACCACCAAACTAGACTTCAGTTTCTTACATGGTTTACATACAGTACAGATGTTTCAGTAATGTTATTTAACATTTTTTTGTCCAATTTAAAATTCTAAGTTAGCCTCCTCCTTAAATAGCTTGCCTTACTGAATATCCAGGATGGTTCTTTGTGCTATGCGTTACAAAATTTTTGCTCTAAGCTTCCCTTAAAAGGAGTATCTAGAACTGTGTGTTATCCTCTTCAGAGGCTGGTTGTTGTTCTTTAAGTAGAAAAATAGGACACTATGGTGGGATCTATTTATTAAACTTCTGTATCTTGTGTGAAATTTTACAAATACAGATTTTTTCTTTTTTTTTTTAAATCATGTAATTAAGTTTTGAATTATTTCCAGGTTTTCCATGTGTGATTATTTGTCATTCCTGTAGCTCAGCAAAGGCCTTGCCTGCAGAATGCTTCCATCTGGTCTGTTGTCTCTTCCCGTGGAAGAGCTGGGAATGGATGTGAGGACATCACAAACTCCCCAGGCAGCTAAGCCGCCTGTCGGGCCAGAAGCTGAGGCCACTGTTGGATCTGTGTGAGGCGATGAGGTTGAGCTCAAGATGCGTTTTCCTCTGTGCGTGTGGCAGCAAAGGGGTGAAAGGGCAGTTCAGCAGCACTGTCTCAAATCTGGGGCCTGGCTGCTGAGATTGCATTTACACGTTGATGGAAGGAAACAGAAGTCCTGTACCATGAGTATTGTGCAAAGCTGGCGTTAGGATTACTTACAAATTAACTAATGCTACTTAAAATTTGTGGGGAGGAAATAAAACATGTACATTTAGAATTCGAGGCACAGTGCAATGAATGTTCCATTGCCTAGATCTCTTATCTATGATTTTTCATATTTGGGCTTCCCCTTTGATTTGCAGAGAAGAATTGAGATGTAAGGTTCTTCCATTTCTAAAGATGAATTTTCCTTATTTTCCAGAATTGAAAGGGTTATAGACAACAATACTACAGTGAAAATGGTGCCCATCAAGATAGTTCATTCTGAGAGCAGTGCAGAGAAGGAGAGTCGGCAAAGTCTTGTCAGTACTATGGAGCCTCCTGCTTTACCCAGTGGTTTGGAAAAGGACCAAATCAAAACACTCAGCACTTCTGAGCAATCCTATTCACGATTCTGTGCGTACACCAGACAAAGTGTAGAGCCAGAGCCAGAAGCCAGAACCAAACCAGCTGACCCTCAACCAGCTGAAGAACCTGGGAGCAACTTGAAGGACAGCAGTGCTGCCACGCCAGCAGTCAGCTACGTAAAGGCCAAAGAGAAGACCCTTGAAGACTGGAAGTCAGAGGAACTAGCCAGAGAGATTGTGGGAAGAGATAAATCCCTGGCAGACATACTAGATCCTAATGTGAAAATAAAAACAACAATGGATCTAATGGTTGGAATATTCCCTAAAGATGAACACCTCCTAGAAGAAGCTCAGCAGCGCAGGAAGCTCCTACCAAAAGTTCCTTCTCCAAAAATTTCAGAGGAGAAGTGAGTATTACTCTCTGTAGGCCAATCGTTCCTTGTAAGCCGCTGTCCAAAGCGTGTCAGTTTTCCCAGGGGGCTGAAGGTGAGGATCTTCCCACTGTTGAGGTTTGGGGCTTTTCTAGGTCCCTTCTGTTAGAATAGCAGTCAAGCACAATACTGCCAACAGTACCATTAATGTCAAAAAAAGAACAGTGTTGTACAAAATGAAAAGTTCCTTGAGACCTGGTTAAAAACTGTTTGTGGGAGAACTTAAGGAATAATTAACTTCTCCCATTTCATAGTGATTAGATATTTTACCAAGATCATCTGGTCTAGTAACTGGAGAGAGAAGGAAAAATATTTTATCCTTTTTTATGTGAGAAAAATTTACAGAGACAGCTTGAAGTGGGCATGAGGCATTTCCTGGAAGTGCATGAGAACAAAGAAAGAAAAAAATTAAATTCCATCCATGTTGCTGTTCTGTGGGTCTCTTGTTTTCTTGATATGAGTTAACAAATTATGCTGTAGCCTTCTTGAGAAGTTCACGTGTAATTCCATCATCAAAAAGATAAATACTTATGCTGCAGTATCCCACATTTGGCAGTCTGAAAGGATACTCTCTATGACACTGAGGTCTTTGCACTGCTTAGTGAAATGTAACCTCACATTTTGTTTCCAGATGAGGTATCTTAGGTCCATTTTACGTATTGTCATGGTGAAAGGTCTTCTGCGCTACTTCAGTTTTAGCTTTTGGTGGGCGTGTGCTGAGTTCATACGAGTTTTCTTCACAACCAGGATTTATTTATCCTCTTTCCATAGGTAATGGCTTTCCCTTTGCTTGGCAGAATGGTGGCTCTGAAAGATTGTCCTTTCTTTTTGGCGATTAGGGTGTCAAGGCAGCTAATGAAAGTTTTGACTTTTTACCAGGAAAGAGGAGCAGAGCGTGCCGTCTGCCATCTCCCTGACAACCAATTCTACTTACTACAGCACATCTGCACCAAAGGCAGAGCTGCTGATTAAAATGAAGGACATGCAGGAGCAGCAGCAACAGCAGCAGAGTGAGGATGATTCTGAAGACGAGCTGGATCATGACTTGTCAGAAAAGAAGGTAAAAGACATTTCTGAAAGTGTAGTGGGAGGCTCTTGGTTGCGTGCATCTCATCAACTGAATTTGTTCGGTAAACACCCCTAAATAAAAGGCCTTCTAGATGTACAGGATCACTTGGGAAATCAGCCTGTTCTATTTTTAAGGGGGAGAGAGGCTTGCTGAGTGTCCAGTTGTGAATTTAGGAACTTCATATTAAGTGCTTTTTGCAGCTTGATACATGTTTTGTAAGGTCCTAAGGAGAGAAGTTTTGAGGAGGCTATTTTCAAATACTGTTTTCCATTTGAGATTCTGGTGCATTTCTCTCACTTGCTGTGTACAAAGAAAGAGGAGTGCTTATGTGGTTTTAGTTGCTTTGTATTTTTGAAATTTAGGTCCAGGATTTGGATTTGCCATGAGACACAATGAACACATAGATGTTTGGCTTGGTTTGGGGTTTTTTTCTCATTTGTTTTCATGAGCAACAAACCACTGTGCCCTCTATTTCTCCTGCCTCCTAAATTAGTAACAGTAGTGGTGGGAGATAGCTAATCAGTTTGGTGGATTCAGTGGAAGTTACTCATCACAAGGGAGGCAGTCTTCTCCACTCTCATTCTTCCCCATCCTTTGGGGTTTCATTTCTGATCTAAGGTCAACATAGTCCCCTAGGTATTAAAATGATGATATAATGGCATTTCTGTGGTTTGAGAAAGTGTTGTCCTACGTTAAAATCGTCACCCTCATCTCATTAGTGATTTGGCACAAAATATTTTAATTGTAGTTCCCAGTATGGCTAAGCTGGATGAAATGGTCTGTTTGATCAATTAAAGTGATGTAGTTTAACTGTTTAGCTAAGCCAGTAATGCAGTGGTGTGCAAATCTCTTCTGTTCAAGTCAGCTCTCTGCTTAATAATCAACTACCAGCATGCATTTGGTAATCCAGTCCCAAATAAATGTCTTTTAATTATTAAATATGAGGAATATATTTCGTTGTTAGGAGTGAGAGGTGCCTTTAAGAGATCCCACCTCTGGTTCAGTGCGGGAGTGGGTGCCACTGCATTTGGGTGGGCTGTAGTGTTTTCTCTTAATACTCTGGGGGTTTTTTTACCTCCCTCAGCCTTCCCTCCCACCCTACCTCTGCCCCCGGTGCATGGCACACGTCAGCAGGGTGTGCACTGCCCGGGGCCTGGTGTGGCTGCAGCGGGAGAGCCGCCCTTACCCTCTCACCAGACAGCTGCTGAATCCAGCAACTGTGCTACTGAGACAAATCAAGGATTTCACTGCGTTTTGGTTTTGTCTGGTGCCACACATGATGGTCACATTCATCGTTTTTACTAGAATTACTTTCCTTCTCATTAATTATGGAGTGTATGTATGGGGGAGGGGGGCATGTTAATGTTAAACCTTTCTTGTTTGCCCAACAAACTAAATACTAAAACTTTTATAAGCAAAACCGCCATTTATTTGTGTTGATGTCTGTTAACAGGAAAATCACATTCACCCTTTACATACTCCTCCCTCCATCCCTCCAGCTCCAGTATGCACCACTAATCATATGAGATAGGAAGTATTTCATGAAGAGCTTTTAGCAGAGCTCCCCCATCTTCTTCTCTGAATATACATAGTGTTGTAGCCACGCAGACATTGCTGCTCACTTCTCTCCCTGCCCCTCCACATGCGGTAGGACGCAAACACTCAGTTCAGTGGGCTTTCATCTTGGATCTTGTCAGAAAATATGTAAAACTCAAGGTAAGTGGGTCAAGGCATCTTTATAAAACAGCCAGAATATATAACTTGGCCCAGCTTCACACATTTGGCAACATTTTAACAAGGGATCATTAAGGACCTGAACACTGTAATAGCGCGCTTTACGACTTCCGTTATTTTAGAGGAGGGATATGCCCAGAACCTGTTCCTTGATTCCTAGAAAATGGTAAGTTCTGTTATGAGGTATCTTAATTCCACATTCCAACTGTGGAATGGTTGTAATATTTGTCATTCTCTGCTCTGCAAACCAGAAATGTGTGGTGCTTTTTTAAAATTATTTTTCTGTCTTTTTGAAAGAAGTATAGGAATTTCATATAGAGGGGATTTTTTTGGTTTTTGGGGTTTTTTGGTGGTTCCTAGAAAATGGTAAGTTCTGTTATGAGGTATCTTAATTCCACATTCCAACTGTGGAATGGTTGTAATATTTGTCATTCTCTGCTCTGCAAACCAGAAATGTGTGGTGCTTTTTTAAAATTATTTTTCTGTCTTTTTGAAAGAAGTATAGGAATTTCATATAGAGGGGATTTTTTTGGTTTTTGGGGTTTTTTGGTGGGGCGGGGCAGGGATGGGATGGGATGATCCCT